GTATTGGGTTGGATTGGGGCATGGCTGTTCCGGGGGAGGCAGAGAGTTGGTATGGGTGGGGTTGGGTCAGAGTGGGATGGTGTTGTTGGTGGAGTACCTCAGGGCTCTGTCCTGGGACCTCTGTTGTTTATAATATATATAAATGATTTAGATTCAGGTTTGAGTAACCACATTTGCAAATTTGCCGATGATACAAAAATCGGTAGCGAAATTAAGACAGAAGAAGACTCTCTATCACTTCAAGTTGATCTAAATAGGGTTTTGAAATGGTCAAAAGATTGTCAGATGCAGTTTAATGCTGATAAATGTAAAGTTTTGAGGCTAGGTAATGATGATAGAGTTACAAGATACGAGCTGGATGGTGTTGAAATTGCGAAGTTGAATTGCAAAAGGGATCTGGGAGTTATGATTAGTAAGAATTTAAAACCAAAGGATCAATGCATGAATGTTTGTAATAAGGCAAATAGTACACTGGGATTTATTAATCGAAGCGTTAGTAACAAGACACCTGCTGTGGTTCTTCAGCCATATCTTGCTCTGGTTAGGCCCCATTTAGATTATGCAGTTCAGTTTTGGTCGCCGTACTGTAGAATGGATATAAATTCACTTGAACGTGTCCAGCGTAGGATGACAAAGTTAATTCCCCAAATCAAAAATCTTTCATATGAAGAAAGATTAACAAAGCTTAAATTGCATTCACTGGAAAGGCGAAGAGTTAGGAGTGACATGATAGAGGTTTACAAGTGGATGAATGGACATAGCAAAGGGGATATTAATGGAGTATTAAAAGTATCAATACAAGACAGAACGCGAAACAATGGGTATAAATTGAACAAGTTTAGATTTAGGAAAGACTTGGGTAAATACTGGTTCGGTAACAGGGTTGATGATTTGTGGAACCAATTACCGTGAAACGTAGTGAAGGTAGGGTTCCTCGATTGTTTCAAGTGTGGGTTGGACATGTATATGAGTGGGATTGGGTGGTTATAAATAGGAGCTGCCTCGTATGGGCCAATAGGCCTTCTGCAGTTACCTTTGTTCTTATGTTCTTGTGTTCTTAACTGGAAACTGCTGGCTTCCATGTCGGCAATAGCCAGTCCTTCATCTGATGTCCATCTGTATGGGCAGCTTCTATTTGCATGTGTATTGTTTCAAGTTTAATGTTAGATTCATGTGCATTACACGCCTCACTTCTTGTGTGGACTTTAGAAACTGTTCATCTGTTGAATTATTTTGGAGTCCTGGTGGTCCTGCCTAATGTGTTCTGGTGCCATCCACTTTAGTTCTGGGAACATTGAGGCATATGATTCTGCCCCCATGGTGGAGGAAGGAGGAGGGGAGGGTAACCAGGCAGTTAAACTAGCATTTAGAGCCCTCTGTAATCTTCATTACTCACTTTTTCAGATGGAAAATAGGTCCTTACTCATGCTGCTTATATTGCCTTACATTTACCCTTGACTTTTCCAAGTTACTAGCAACTTTTAGTGCAGTGGGTTTGAGTCCCTGGCAGGGCAAAACGTTTAGGCATGTTTTCTTACACCTGATGCTTCCATTTATATTGCAGTGAATAAGTAATGGGTACTTTAAATTGAATTGTTTTGAATTGCATCCTGGGGAACTGTTTTGAATTGCATCCTTGGGAACAGTCAATCATTGCCTTAGAAAGACATCGATAAGTCAGGGCTTCCTGTCCATGACAATGAGAAATCTTCACATGTTTAATTATGTGTTTCTGGGGGGAGCCCCGTTGGCTCCCCGGAGCTATCCAGGCTGAATGGATATGTATAACTTTCTGGCATCAGTCAAAGTGCTAGGAGTTCTTGCCAACCGGGGACCACGAGCCAGAACCTGGCCCCCTCAGAGAGGCATGAGGAGCAATGGCCTATAGAAACCCCCCTTGTGGTTGGGAGCATTCTATGTCTGCCATCGACCGGGATAGGCACCCAGAAAGGTAGGCGCCCCAAAGCAAATCCCTATTCTGGTAAAAATATTGCTACCGAAAGCCGAACGAATGGACAGAACTCCCCAAACAAAACTATCAAACTAGCATGACATCATCACGTCGCCACGCCACCGTCTGCGCAACCGCCTCACTCCCTGGGAGGGGGAAGGGGGAGCCCCAGATCCTCCATGCCGGCGATCCAACTGGTAGTTCTTGGCTGATGGAATTACTGGCTGGTCGAGTGCCTCTGGCTTCGGTTTTTGTTTCAGTTCTGTGCCTTGTGGTGTGGACTGTCTCTACTGGTGGGGTGTGAGCCAGGAGTAAGATTCCACAGTACTCGGGCTTCATGTGCCTAGGGCTATCTTCCCTAGGTGCCCTGTAAGTACTGCCCTTGGGGCTTGGGGCCACCTTCCACAAGTCACCTTGGGTTTTTCGTCCGCTGTGTCCTTTACTGCTCGGTTCTGAGCCGCCCTTGGAGTCGGCTGGGGTTTTGTTTCCCTGGTTTGTCTCTGGGTAGGTGGTAGTTTTCGTCACTGGTAGGGGCACGGGGTACTGCACAGCTAGTTTTCACCAATAACAGCGGCCGGCTCTGTTCCGCCTGCGTACGTTGTACTCTTGCGGGGTTTTTCTTTTGTTTTTGTTTTTGCCTGGTTGGGGGGTCTGCCTTATGGTCCCCCGTTCCTGTTCTAGGTGATTTTCTTTCGATTTCTTCTGTTGGTGGTACTCCCCGCTTGGCCCCCGTGAGTGGACACGTCCCGGGGGTTCAGCTTTAGCAGTTTGTTGGTAGATTTGGGCGCCGGTTCGCGGTACCCTGCCTGGGCTTTCCTTAGCATGTACTAACGGCTAAGAGCCCTGGGAAACCCCACGGGGGGCTCCATGGTCCTATAGGTGTGTCTCCGGAGTCCCTCTCATGTCCTGCGAGTTTGACGGTTGCTCTGTCCCCTTGTCTCAGGGTGACACTCACCGGTTGTGCCTCTGCCATGCTGCCTGTCATGGAAGATAAACAAAACGCTTATGTAATTTATACAGATTTTGCAAAAGCCTTCAATAAATGTCACCATGGTGTTATTGCACATAGAATGCGTTCAAAAAGAATTACTGGAAAAATAGGCAGATGGATCTACAATTTCCTGAATAACAGAACCCAATGTTTAATAGTCAACAAAATCAAATCCGGTCCATCAACATTGAAGAGCTCAGTTCCCCAGGGTACTGTGCTTGCTCCAGTACTTTTTCTCATCCTCATATTGGACACAGACAAGGATACAACCTATAGTACTGTATCATCCTTTGCAGATGACACTAGGATTTTGATGAGAATTGACAACATAAAGGACACGGCAAACCTCCAATCAGATGTAAATCAGGTCTTTCTATGGGCTACAGAAAATAATATGGTGTTTAACAAGGATAAGTTTCAGCTCATGCATTACGAAAAAAATGAAAGTATAAAAATGGAAAAGACATACAAAAACGCAGTCAAATCATAACATAGAACGAGAAGGCAATGTAAAGGATTTGGGTGTACTCATGTTGGAAGACCTTACATTTAAAGAACACAATAAAGTAGCCATCACAACTGCAAGAAAATGACAGGTTGGGTAACAAGAACCTTTCACACTAGAGATGCTATACCGATGATGATACTTTTCAAGACGCTAGTGCTCTTTAGAGTGGAATACTGTTGCACAATGACAGCCCCTTTCAAAGCTGGAGAAATTGCTGACCTGGAGAGTGTGCAGAGATCCTTTACTGCTAGAATCCACTCGGTAAAACATCTAAACTTTTGGGACCGACTAAAGAGCCTAAATCTGTATTCTCTTGAGCGCAGGCAGGAGAGATGCATAATAATTTACATATAGAAAATAGTAGAGGGTCTGGTTCGAAACCTGCACACAGAAATAACATCAGTAGACCAGAAGGCATGCCAGGATGTGCAGAATACCCCCATTGAAGAGCAGAGGTGCAATAGGTACTCTGAAAGAGAACTCTTATCAACATCAGAGGCCCGAGACTGTTCAACACGTTTCCACTTCACATACGAGGCATAACTGGTCAACCCCTCACAGTGTTCAAGAGAGAACTTGACAAACACCTCCAAAGAATACTTGATCAATCAGGCTGTGACTCATATGTCAGGCTGCGAGCAGGCGCGTCCAACAGCCTGGTTGACCAGTCCAGCAACGAGGAGGCCTGGTCAACGACCGGGCCGCGGGGTCACTGAGCCCCGAAATCACTTCAAGGTAACCTCAAGGTAAGGTATCCTGAGTTACTTTATAATTTATTGAAAGACTTTAGTTTTGTTTTATTAGTTTTATAAAATTGTAATATCAATATAGCTATAGGTTAAGTACTAATTGTAATTAAAAAGCAGTAAGTGCTATTTACATGCTTGTCCTCCTACACTCCCAAAGATTAGGTTAGGTCGTGGTTTTCTATATAGCTTTTCAGGTAAACTCTAATATTCACAATATTTTGGTGCATTGCTGGCAATTAAGTGTATTTATGTACTATGCCAATAGTCGGGATTGTACTCATTACATTTATTATTAAAACGTACTGTCTATTCAGAGGATGGGCTGAAACCACTACCCCACACAACACCAACGATAACAAACATTTAAACAAGTACCCCACACAACACCAAAGATGACGAACATTTAAACAACTACCCCACACAATACCAACGATGACGAACATTTAAACCACTGTTACATACAACAACGATGACAAACTGTTTTCTATTATTAATGTTAATTTGTAAGTGTGCATTTTATTTTTATTTGGAAATACATTTTAAGATAATTTTTATTCCACAGCCTCTTGGTTATGGCCACATGTACATAATTTAAAGTGTAAATTAGTTGTGTATTTAGAAGGAAAATACTGTAGGTAAAAGACAAATTTCTAAAATTTTTATATTTAACAAGGTAAGAAAGTGGGGGGTTTAAAAAGAGGGTAAACCGGCTATTACAAATACTCAACTCCACAACTGTCTATAACATAGTCTACATTGCTTATGTATATCAACATACCATAATAATTGTTTTCATTCCAGGTACTTGATCAAGATCGTGTATTGATCATCGTCCAGTATTGGTGTCACAAGTTCCGTGTCGTTCTCCTAACTGTGTTTTGTAGTAGCTTCTCCAAAGTGACCACAACAAAGTACTTCCCTCCATAATGCCTGTAATTAATTTCTATGTAAAATAAGTAACTGCGATAAATAGCTTTTCAAGATCTATTTAAAAATATTAATCTGTATCTTAATGGACCTGCAACTTTTATGTCAGGTATTCATTCTTAAAAAAAAAATAGTAATATACTTGTTTATATGGCTTAATTGATTTAGAATCATAACACAGATCAAGCCAAGTTTATAATGGGAAGATTATAATGTTATCTCCGTATTTGTTATACAGCATAATTACATATGTATTTTATGTTAAAAAAACATAAATAAGTCAAATCTAGATTCTATTCTATATCAAAATCAGAATTTTCAAATCATGCAAAAAGATAATTAGAATAAAAATATAAACTGAACAAAACATTAATATATCAAAATGTTTAGAGGTCACTACATTTTATGAAGTCTGTTGTAGTTGATACAACAATAATTAATTTGAAGAATTAACATTATGCAGAAAAGACTAATATCTTTGCAAAATATATTAACAATAAATATTTAATTGAAGATGTTACATATCCTGCCCTGACTATTATTCCTAAACTATAGAAGACTCATGACATGAATGTCTAAGAAACACTGTTGCAGTTACCGTATTAAGAAACAAAACACCCAAACCAAGAACTACAACAGTGCTAACCTCAAGGCACCAACATGGAACCAACAACTGCAGAAAGTATGAATATAGTCATTATACCTCAACATTTGCCAAAAATGCAATCGAGGATATGGAGAAAATCTATATTTGCAATAATCGATAATATATGACTGAAATGTGTAGAGTGCAGCTCCTCTATGAGTTACATTCTCAAAAAGCTCCTTTAAATTCTATTTTAATTTATTAAATATTTTACTTTATTCAACTTTGATTTATGTTTTTATGCTGTTTTTATTCTGTGCATACTGAGATACCTCTATTTTTTATCTGTATAAAATGTTTACTTACTTTATGCTGCAGATAGATGGCAACCATTTTGGTTCAATCAACACCTAGGTGTATTGAACATTGCTGTTGGGATAATAATGCAAGACTAACTGATAGTCATTTAAATGTTGGATGGTATACTTTGTGTCACCATATTTAAAACTGTGTTTAGAAAGGCTAAAATTGGTTTCATTGTACATATTTGTACACAGAAACAGGTACATCCTTTGTATTATATCTCTTGTCAGTTTAAACTAATTAAATTGTAACATTACATGACATTTAAACTGATATTCATAATTTATTACATGTTTGTACAGATATTTAATATTAGTTTTGTTATGAATCTCCTTGGAAAATACCTTATTATAATATAAAATTTCGTTTATTTAAAATGTCAATATCATATATTTTTATGTGACAACTTAATATAAAACAGAAGCAAACTAATAAAACTGGAAAATAATACTGTATTCAATGACACTTTCTTATGATTGGCTGGAAACCCTAATATCAGTACTATATTACAAAGCTGCATCTAACAATGTAATTGCATAATGACAAGATTGCACACCAGAAATATGGTCAATAAAACCTGTTCTGCTCTTTAACTCTTAAACTGCACAATACATCATATGATGTGTTGAGTAACTTGCTATAAATTGCGCATCACATCATATGATGTATTGGAGTACTACGCAAGATTTAAATGGCCGCGGATACACGGGTTCACCTCACTTTATCAGGGCTCTTGTAAACAGACCCAATTTAAAAAAAAATCGTGGGCCAAATTTCCGGGTGTGAGGGCCTCGATATTGAGTGAGCCACCAAGCCTGATGCACGCAGCACGAGCTCACAGCACTGCTGTTCAGCTTGTGACCACAGCATCGCCTAAAAATGCCGTAATATATATGTTTATGCTATTATTTAGTGATGATAGTATTACAGAAGACCCCTGACTGTATTAAAAATGACCAGGATTCTGATAATAGCAGAATTGTTGTGATAATTAGCACTGTAGTGGGAGGAGTAATCTTGGTGGGGAGGGAGGTAGCATTGTCTGCTGACTGTGTGACCACCTTTTACTGTCTGGACTCACTATACCAGCTTAGTTAATAAATATAATAATAAATAAATGTTTATTCAGGTAAGGTACATACATACAAGAGATTTTACAAAAATTGATAGATTTATAGATAGAGCTAGTACATACAATGCCTAAAGCCACTATTACGCAAAGCGTTTCGGGCAGGAAAAACATTAAAGACTAAAACTTAATACTAATTGAGTTTAAAGTATAAAATGTGTTGAGAACAAATAAAAATAAGGGGGGAACATGGCTGAAAAAGCAGCACAAATACAATTAGGTCGACAAACATCGTTGTTTAAAAAAACAGACATGGGTTGACAATAGAGGGGTAAGGTAGGTTACAGGGAATTTATTAGGTTGTGCTTCGTTTTTATCTTAAACTGGTTGAGAGAGGTACAGTCTTTAACATGATTGGGAAGGTCATTCCACATTCTGGGTCCCTTGATTTGTAGAGCATTTCTAGTTTGATTAAGTCGTACTCTTGGAATATCAAAACTGTATTTGTTTCTGGTGTGGTGCTCATGGGTTCTGTTACAACCTTCAATGAAGCTTTTGAGGTCAGGATTGGCATTACAGTTCAGCATTTTATATATGTATAATACACATGAGAGAATGTGCAGTGACTTAATATCTAACATATTCAGAGATTTGAGCAGGGGTACCGAGTGATGTCTGGGGCCAGAGTTGGATATTGTCCTAATAGCAGCTTTCTGTTGAGTAATTAGAGGATGTAAATGATTTTGGGTAGTAGAACCTCAAGCACAAATACCATAGTTGAGATATGGATAGATGAGGGAGTAATAGAGTGTCACCAGGGCAGGGCGGGGTACATAATATCTGATCTTAGAAAGAATGCCAACAGTTTTTGAAACTTTTTTTTATATATTTAGAATGTGTCCCTGGAAATTCAGCTTGTGGTCAATGAGAATGCCAAGGAATGTGCCATCTATTTTGTTACAAATTTGGGTATTGTTTATGCTGAGATTTATTTGATTAGAGGATTTATTGCCAAACAGAATATAGAAAGTTTTGTCAATGTTAAGGGTGAGTTTGTTGGCAGTTAGCTAAAGATGGACTTTATTTAGCTCAGTATTTACTGTGGCATTTACAGCAAGGGGGTCAGGACTGGAGTAAATGAAGGGTGTGTCGTAAGCAAATAGAATTGGTTTGAGGTGTTGGGAGGCATTTGGAAGGTCATTAATGTAGATGAGAAAGAGGAGAGAGCCAAGTATGCTGCCCTGAGGAACACTGATGTTGATGGGTAGGGTGGGAGAAATTGAATTATTCACAGAAACATACTGGAGCCTGTCAGTAAGGTAAGATTTGAGGTATTGCAGGGAGTGTCCTCTGACTCCATAATGATGTAATTTAAGAAGGTTTTGGTGGTTGACAGTGTCAAAAGCCTTATGCAGGTCCACAGGGAACTCATTTTTATCAAGAGCTGCATGAATCAAGTTAATCATACTAATAAGTGCATCGTTAGTGCTTTTTTTGGATCTGAAGCCATATTGAAAAGAGCTAAGTATATTGTGTTTGGCTAGATAAGAGTAAAGCTGCTTGTAAATTAGATTTTCAAATATTTTTGACAAGTTATGCAGGATTGATATAGTTCTGTAGTTGTTAACATCTGTGAGATCACCACATTTGTGGACAGGGGTTACTCTCGCTTTTTTAGAATATCTGGAAAGGTTTGGAGTTCAAGTGACTTGTTGAAGAGCAATGCAATAGCAGGGGCTAAAGATCTGGAGGCTTTTTTGTAAATTAAAGTTAGTATCTCCTCAAGGGCACTAGCCTTGGTTTTAAGGGAAAGGATTATCTCATTAACGTCACTGGAATTAGTAGGCTTTAGGTACAGAGACTGGATAGTTACCTGTAAGATAGTCCTTAACATCAGTACTGGAAGATGGAATATCATTTGCAAGGGATGACCCAATGGAAGAGAAGAACCTATTGAACTCAATAGCAGAATCAGAAGCTGAATGCTGACCATCGTTATTGGACAGGAGTGTTGGTTTGTTATTTAAAATCTTCTCTGATCCCAATATTTGTGAAATTGTGCTCCAAGTTTTTTTAATGTTGCTCTTTATTTGGGTAAATTTATCTTTGTAGTATTTAGTTTTGGCTCGTCTAATTATTTTAGATAGCAATAATGAGTAATTCTTTGAGAATTCTTTGGAGAAGGTTCCTAACCTATACTTCTTCTCAAGGTCATGTGTTTTATTAATGTATTTAATAAAAAATCGTTGTTCGCTATGGTGAACAAAACATGCAGATACTTATATATAACGTCTGTATATAGTGAATAAAAGCAAAAATAGTATTGTGTGAGGAGAATGGTGGCGAGTCAGGTGAGATGAGGGAGGGAGGAAGTGGCAGCCAGTGGCGAGCTGCCACTGCCACTGCTACTAAGCATACGAACTTAGTTGTTCGTTATGGTGAACACGAATGTAGATACTTGTATATAACATCTATATATAGTGAATAAAAGCAAAACCAGTATGGTGGGAGGAGAATATGGGCGAGTGAGGTGTTGAGGGAGTGAGGGCTGGCTGGTGTGTGGGGGGTCACTCCTCGTTGCTTTTTGACTCATAATACCAACTTAGTAGTTCGGTATGGTGAACAAAACATGTAGATACTTATATATAACCTGTGTATATAGTGTAATAACCGACAAAGTATTTGTTCACTGTTTGATGAACATCATAATTGAATCAATATGCACACCATAATTTTGAGTACAGCGATGATTCACACATTTTATTATATAAATACATCACACTACACACTATTGAATAATATTACAGCAAAAAACTACGAAAAATAAATCAGAGACATTAAAATAAGTAGGTAATTATCTCTTTGTGACCACTGCTGCCTGATAACTGGGGAGGAACAGACCGCATGGGACGCACACTGAGTCAGCGCCTGTTTTTTGCCAGAATTCCCCGCCCTATAGTGGGCAATATATGCCACTTATGATTTTATTATTATTTTTCCCATTATCAGAGAACACAAATTAACAGGTTTAGAAGAAAAAATATTTTTTTTTTTTTTTGGTATGCATCTGTGGGGTGACAAATGCTAATTAACCCTGAGCAACACAAGGGTTAACCACTGTGCTGCGCCGGCCGAGAAAACATGTTTGCTCGAAAATGTGCCAGCTGACATATGATGATGATAGTATTTCACAAGAATCGAAAAATCTCATGTGTACAAGGGGGCACACATTTCCTTCCTCAGACCTCAAATAACCAGCCCCAATCTTGAAAAAACTTTGAGTCCCTCACTTTTCTTTCATGGGATTAGTAATTTGTTCTAGGTTACTTAGGCCTAAGAAATGATCCTAAGACTATGGCTTTAGAAAGGCATATGTGCCCTATGCCCTTTATGTGGGGCAGCCATACTATGAGCCACTGAAAGTTTAACAGCAGCAAGTGAGTGATTACCATTATATATTTCAGGCAAAATGTGTGCTATGTCCAATTATAAGATTTAGGCTTGTGTGTATACATATATATATATATATATATATATATATATATATATATATATATATATATATATATATATATATATATATATATATATATATATATATATATATATATATATATATATATATATATATATATATATATATATATATATATATATATATATATATATATATATATATATATATATTTATATATATATATGAATATGAATACATATAAATATGAAACTCACTAAACACTGCGTATCTAATCTACCCAACAATGTAACATAATCGTATATTATATATACGTTACAGCTGCATACTCCAGGATTGGTCTGACATACGTGGTATACAAGGTTCTGAATGATTCCTTACACAAGTTTCTAAAAGCCATTCTTATGTTGGCCAACCTAGCCGCTGATGTTATCCTCTTGATGTGGGCTTCGGGGGGACAAGACTGGCATGATATCAACCCCCAGGTCTTTCTCTCTGATTATAGAGGACTGTCACCTCCCAAAAGATACCTTGTATATGGCCTCCTGCTCCCTACACCTATCTTCATTACATTACATTTGCTCAGGTTAAACTCTTAGCAACCATTTGTTGGACCATTCCTTCAGTTTGTCCAGGTCTTTTTGAAGCCTTATGCTGTCCTCCTCTGTCTTAATCCTTCTCATAATTTTGGCATCATCAGCAAACATTGAAAGGAATGAGTCTATACCCTCTGGGAGATCATTTACGTATATAAAAAACAAGATAGGTCTGAGTACAGAAACCTGTGGGAACCCAACTGGTGACTTCAAGCCAATCTGAGGTCTTATCCCCTCACACCTCATAATTGGTTCAGTTCCTGAACCCCTGAAACCCCCTGTTCCTGAATCCTGAATGTGCCTCAGTA